AAGAATAATACCAACACGTAATCACAAGTAATAACAATTTAATAAACAAAACGAGCTGTCGCTCGCGCACGCGTGACCAAAATCAACACGGAACTGTTTCAAAAACTACAATTAATAACTAACCCGACAAAACTGAAACCTACTGCGTCACAGCGTGAGGCGACACGAGCCGGCCGGGTTACATTCTGCCGTCATAATAAAGAAGGACGCAACAAACAAAAACGTAAAATGGAAATAAAAAATAAATTGATGAATTTTTCTTTCAGACCCTGTGTCTAAAGTATATTAAAAGGTATCTATATGAAAATTCAAATATATACGTAGAGACATGAAGATTTTAAGGACGAACTTATTTTTTTGATAATTTGTTTATTTATTTAAATAAAACGAATTTTCCTTTTCATTTTAGCTTAAAAAATACACCTGGTAACACAAAAACATCGAAGGAAAGACGCATATAACTATTTGCGTCTTCCCAATCTAATAAATAAAAAAACTGCCATTCATTTAACATTTTTACATATTTTGGAAAGGTCATTTGAAGTTGAAAGGACGCTAATAGTAATTTACTACTTTTTTCTTAGTAAATATTAGAAAAGCATTGGTAGTGAGACACAAAAAATAACAACCTGCAACTCTTGAGTAATGTTTTTAAAGGGGATATCATACAAGACTTACTACGATAATAGTTAAAAATTTAAAATTTTGTACAACCGACTTTAATATAAATAATTAAGGATAGCTCAAAAACTATTGGTCTGACCTCGATCAAATTTATATGGGACCACATGTGAAACACCAGCTCTTAATAATAAGATATAAGCTCTTAATAATAAGATATAGAATAATAAGAAAAGAATAATTGAAATTTAAGTAATCGATGCAAATATTGTTAAAGATGACGTCTTAAAATAAGTCTTTTCTTTTATGTTGAATTTGTATAAGTCTTTTCTACTAAACAACAGTTACGTCTAAAATTCTTACGATAATTTTTAAAATATTGATATTTAATAATTTCAAAAAAAATTAGTAGATGCGCCTTCTTATCATGAGTCGAATGGTATATTTAACTCATTTATTCAAAAATTGTTAGATGCGCCCTTTTTTCTTATGACCGCAGCATTGTTTCGTACCGAGCTAGATACAGATTGACAGCGGAGGGAATGTGGGTACAGTCGCGTTCTAAAGTACTACATGGTATTGGGCTCTTGTTTTATAATATTATAGTAATTAATTGTTTTATTGTAGAATCATACTAGGTGTTTTACTAGCTACTTAGAACTTTGGAAGAGGTGGGAATTAAAAATGGTTAATGTTTACTTGCGCATTATTTGTAATTTCTATCGTAAAATATATAGTAGTTTGTAACAAGAAAACTTAAGCTAAGGGTGACACGCCGTCCATTATGACGTCTTGGGCCACATGGAAGCCAGATGTTGATGGTGTGTTGGTGTTACTGGATGCTACTTCATCATCACTTTCATATTCGCTTGAGCTTCCGTCATCAGGTCGATCACATGGTAATTTTTTCGGTATTCTTCCTCAACACTTTTAATTTTACTGCACAATTTTCCCCATTCACCTTCTCCTATCATATTTACCTTTTCGTTCACTAGTTTAGTCATAAAACAATAGATATAAATAATTTTTCTTTCCTTCCTTTTTAAAACATCGTCGCGAGTCGCAAAGTAAGCTGTGTATGCGACTGTATTTTCGGAGCGAACAAAGCGCGGGAACCAATAGCATGCAGGCACAGTAATACTGGCGGATTGTTCCTCCGTTGCGCCCCCTTCGTACCAATATGTGATAAATCGCTCAGTGCCCAAGTTCAAGGCCAGCGTTCTTTTTTCACCGTTCGTGCGTACATTAACCTCCATTAGTCAGGTGATATCAATTCAGTTTCCACTGCTGGTTTTATGTTTCAGTATTTTCATAAATTTTTTAATGAAATTATCGTTTCATTTAGCTGTACTAAGATGATGGCGCGTGAATAAAGCTAATAAAATGTTGTAAAAATATGATTTTTTTTTCATCAGGATCAAATTTATTTGTGACCCATGATCAAAGGTATACTTGGTGCTGTCGCCTGTCTTAGTTTTCAGGAGCGTTCCAAAAATAACCTGTATATAGCGGGCTCTCATAATCTTTGTTTTTCTTGGACAAACACTGCCTCAATGTCATAAAACTTTTTATGGTACTTATCCAGTTCTTTATACTGGGCACTGTATATTCATGACCATTTTTATTAATAAATTCAAAATTTTCTAGTTTTAACAAAGCTTGCTGCCAGAACGCCTGGTGTCTACATTGTTCTGTAAGAGCAATTCTCAAATTAAAGGCTATTGTATCCAAAAACAAAATTCGTGTCGCTGCGGAGGTTACAACGTCCGCTAACTAAGCGGGATATGATAGTCGGGTGGCATGGGACGAGTTATTTGCGATAAATTGATTACCGGTAAAGTAATACATACACGGTAAAGTAATATACAAAATTCTACTGATTCCTGCGGCAGCCTTAAACAACCGCAACTTAAATATCGTTCTGGAAAACTCAAAAACTCTTGAAAATTAAAAAGGTCTTATACCTCTTGAAAAAACTGATAGTTTCGACCCCCTTTTAGTGGAGGAATATTGCTTTTAGTGGTTTTTTTAGTGATGCAGTAGAATTCAGCTTAAATTTGTGGAAAGATGATCACTCAACCATTAAGTCAATTTACTTTTACTGTCTAGTCAGCCCTGATTCGTCAGACATAATGTGACGTCAGACGATCAATCCCGTTGGCGCTACACTATTCGCTGGGATTCCTCGTAGAATATTTTAGTAGTAGCTTACTAAACTCAATTTCATATTCTTTCACGAGTTCATACGTCACTATGTCGAAACCACAGATACACAAAAGTTTCGGAATTCTTTGCTTTAAGACCCATATTTTTTTAAAGGATTAGTTCCGGGTGATTGAAAGAACCATTGGTCAAGTAGCAAAATGCAAATTTTAAGCATGATGATGGTGCCGACAGAAATTATTCAACTGAAGACGATTAAATTTAAAATAGCAGTTAATTAAATAATATCTTCTTGATGTAGACTTGTTGATTTACTAATTATATTGCTTTATTGATTAATTACATAAAAAAATTATGTTTTGTTACATATTATGTAATAATTAAGGTAAACAATTACTAATATACCTATTTTTTTTCTATCGTAATATATAGAACTTTGTTTGGTGGAAAATTTAGGGACTATGAGTGTAGAGTCGCTTTTTGTTTGTGGTTTTAGAAGTTGAATCTGGTGGAGACTTAGATCATTCAACTAAAGGTGGAGAGCTGGTTTAGTTGTTGGCAACACTGCACACCATAGATAATACACTATATACCAGGGACTGCACACTAGGGCACACTGCAGGCTACAGGCATAAAATCTTATTTTACTGCAAACTAAATATAGCGAATGAAATCGTTTTTAGTTGAGGAAATAATCTTAACTAATATATATCACTAGCGTTCCACCCCGGCTTTGCACGGGTGATTTCTGGATCTCGACAACAGCGCCACCTACCGGGTCTAACTGTGAATCTAAACCATCCAGAATCCAGATAGACCAAACACAAATTTTTTAATCAAAATCGGTCGAGCCATTTTAGAGTTTTAGCGAGACGAACGGACAGCAATTAATTTTTATATAAAGATAATGTTACATTTTTTGTAATTTATTACCCTAAAATTAAAACATTGACACAAAAATTAAGTGTCTATTTTATAACGCAAGGAAGCCTTATCATTATCACTGATTTTTTTATTTTGTTTAAATATTTTTAATTATATATTTTTACATGGTAAAGCAATGTTGTAGCATAAAATAGCAAAACAGCAGCTCTACCGAGGAAAGACCACACTCAAACATAATGCCAATGTAAAATAGCAGTAAAAATATGAAACATTTCATCTTAGTCCTCAGAGAGGTGACAATGCCATCAGCTTGTTGATTCAAGGATAAAAAAGTAGTTGTTTATTGTTCACCATATCCACTTACAATCAGGTTGACTGTGCTCATTAGTTATAATTTCCTGTTAAAAAAATCTATATAAATTTTATACTTTAATCTATAATTTAACTATTGTAATCACAGAGTACATTATTGTAACTGCAGACTTGTACAGTTTATCTTACATTGAGTGAAAGATAAAAAATCCTCGACCACTAGTTTCCTGTACTGAAAAAGCATTACTTCGAGAAACTCAATTCTATTAAAAAGACATGAATAATTTTGAAAAGCATGAGCGATACAAAAGTAAATAAAAAACAAATTCATTGATTAAAAGTTTATGTTCATACATAGAACTCTCTAATCTTTTTACATACATTTTTCAATTTTTATGTTTTATATAATACAAATTAGCCCTTATCACTCGTAAAAGAGCCTTGTGACTAATGTTTTATTCATTTCAACCTAATACATATTTAACATTAATGATGAGAAAGCAATCTTTCAATCTGACATGAGTCAACAACTTTAGAAAATCCATTATTAAAAAATATTACATGGTGTTTCAATACACCCATTTACTATTAATATATTCATAAATATACTGTTACTAATGCGTTGTAAAAAATAATGCATATTATGATTTTTATATGCTTCTATAATGCCAATATTTTAACAAGTTATAATGAAACAAATTAAATCTGAGTAAGAATTTGATCTCATTATTCAAAGTAATATAGAAAAAAATTACAATTGTTAGTGCAAGGCATGGGAAGCATTCTTCTTATCAATAGTGTGGATTGAGGAATTTCCAAAGTGAGCAACAATAAAAACAAAATGGGTGCACTATTTTTCCAACACCAATGTCCATATAAATGTGAAACATACTCAGTATGAAACATTAATATATATATATATACTATTTGCGATAAACACTCAACTTTGGAAAACCTTAATTGTCACTTCATCGGGTGAGCAAAATTAAAACTATATTGTTCTGAACAGAGTGGGTTATTTAATCAGTTTTCTTGTCGGCAGCTTTGGTTTCTGTCTCGGGTTTTTTTTCCTTTTCTTTTTCTGGTTCCTTCTCTTTTTCTTTTTCCTTTTCCTTCTCTTTTTCTTTTTCCTTTTCTTCAGTTATGACTTCCTTTGCTTCTTGCTTTGAAGCTTCGTCAAAATTACCAACAAGACTAGGTACTTCATCATCATCATCCAGTGGTTTAGGGGCTGCTACACTCGACGCCAGTCTTTTCAATTGACTCAAACCTTCGGGTCCAAGTTGACTGAGAATACCGGGCAGCATTTCTGCGATTTGCTTGTTTTCTCCATGACCCGTAATCGCGAAAGTGTTAGCCGCCAATGAGGCCTGCGCTTTCGGATTGTTAAAATGTATCACTGTGCCGTCATCCTTGATCATATTCACTTCCTCAATACCGGGGATAGTATTTACTGATAGTTTCTTTAATGAAGACTGCAACTTCTTGTCATCTGTAGCTGCGGTCGCATGCACAACCTTCTTCTTGCGCCGCGGTGTACCCTTGCCGCCGATACGCACTTGGGACTGCAATTTTTTCAGCTTTTCCGTGTTCATTTTAAAGAATCAACACGCGGTACCTGCAGAGAGAAACACGACGCACTTTTTAGTTATGCTTTTACAATTACTTAAGTCGCGAACTTGTTCGTTTTCCGTGTAACTTGATCGTACGCACGTGTTTTGGACACCGGTTAGTTACAAAGGGAAAATGGTGGATTTGCGACAAGTTATTTCTGATTTCCGTCTACGTTCCGTTGGTACTACTGAATACCGTATTTCATTTTCAGTCTTTTACAATTTTAGAAAAAAAGCTGAACATTATTTTGTCGTTGAATGCTTCAAAAAATTATGGCGATTATATGTCTAAAAACGCATTTATGTTATTTAATGTTTTATTATTTTAAAAGTAAAAATTATTCTAGCCGATAATGTTAGAATCGATAATAGCGTAAAACGTAGCATGCCATAACTTTGGTGGCGAGCGTAAAAGATTATAAATAATCGATTATCTTAATAATCAACAATAATCGATTATAATTTTCGTGTCGGTCATAAAAATAATCAACACACATTTTGCAGTAGTAAAGTTTTGTAATGTACTTATAAAAAGTGTGTATCAGTGTCACTGTTATGTGATGAAGTATGAGAATTATAGTAAGACTGCTGTAAGTTACAGCTATTTTAGTTTGTTATTCGTTATTTGTTTGTATATATTATAAACTCTCAAGTGTGTCATCCGGAGGGGAAGGTAAAGACTAGAACTGTCCATCACGAGACTGAATAGCAACGCGGAACTACAAAACCCTTTCTGATAACTTTATGGATGCCAAGACAGGCCGTGTAGGCTTCGTTGATTGAAATACAAGCACAAGCCTCTGCAAATAGCTTTTTTTTTTAACCTGTATCAGTCCAGCCATCATTTGCCTTCAAGCAACCTGGTTCATTTTGTTAGTACCAATTGTTGTTGAAAGTGTGATGGTGAACAAAGCGATTCCTATGGTTTATGCAATTTAATCGCAGTAATACCTAGTAACAGACATTTTAAAATATAATCATAGTTTCAAAATTGATTTGTTTTAGATATAAACAGATAACGCAAGTATTTGACTTCAGTGGTTATAAGGGAACTTCTAAAATTGTATCCAAAGAAAGAAGATATTTCTTACGACAATCAAGACTGATTCTGTCTGTAATAAAAATTAATCGCATGTTATTTTGAATTTGTAAATAAACCATTTAATAATATAATTCCAGTCGCTCTAACACCAAATCGATCCAAAAACGAGTAACATGCATAGCAGCTTCCTCAAAATTATTACATACATTATGTATGCATGCATGTAATTTATAACGCATCTCCAGCAAGTTTTGTTTGAAGTTGGCTACAGATGTCCATAGATCGCAATAGTCACTTACCATTAAGGTCTGTTTTCACTTTGATTAGTGATTAGTGCAGGTGCTTAGTGTTTAGGAGTAAACACGTGTGGACAGCGATTGATTAGTGCAAGTGATTAATAACCTGTGTAGTAAAGTGATTAGAAGCGTGTTCTATTTTTTTGCGAGTGGACTGCGAGTGTCACGCCCCGCGCACATTTCCTTTCCCCCCACTCGCAGCATGCCTGCCACTAAACACGTTTGGACAGCACGCTCGCTTCTGTTAAAAAAAATGTCTATACTTCCTGGTCGACTGCTAACAACTGAATTTACTAAACACAGCCACTAAACAGAATTGGACACTACTTACACTACACACCTGCACTAATCAACCGCAAAACTAATCACCTGCACTCGTACTAATCAAAGTGAAAACAGGCCTTTATGTGGAATGCAAGTTCGTTTGTCCCTTAGGTTTTTTTTAAAAAAAATTGTCGAGTTTGTTTGTTAAACTTTAATCTTATATTTTTTTACTTCTTTTGAGATCAAATTAAGTACAAGTTCAATTTTAAATCGACTTTTCCTTTGTCTTTAGAAAGGACCGGCAAAATTGATATAGGAATTATGTTCATTGCTCCGTAATTTTGGGTTATATCCTTTCTTCTAGTGTTGATGTTTTGATGAGTGTTATTTCTAAGGCAAGCATTTTTATAAAAACGTAAATTGTCTGATTTTTATGTGATTGTTGTCATTAATTACATAAAATAGAAAATATATCGATTGAAACCACTTTTTTATTACAGAATGATGGACATCCCTCTTAAATGATGCTTAAATGATGTCTGTGGTCAATGATGGTTGCCGCATAATGCGTTATAATCACATGAATACATCAAGCCATACAAAGGAGATGACAAAAAGAGTTAAATATTTTTTACTTATTTGTTTGACAGTGGCGAGATTTAATCTTATAATTTTTTTTACCTCTTTTGAGATCAAATTGAGTACAAGATAGATTTTAAATCGATGTTTGCTTTTAGCCATTAGATAATCGATTATTTTCATTGCGTTTTAATGAGGGCTAATAATTTGCTGCTCACCAGATGTCGCTAGTTGACACTGAGGTAAAGTTTTTTGTTAGGTAGGTACTCATGTCATTTACAATTGTACTACATTTGTAGTTGCTTGAGAATAATTTCGTTTTAAATAAAAGTTTACAATTTTCTAGAGCATTATATTAAAACACAGACCAATTCCTCAGTGGTTTGCTCTTTAATTTCTTGCACATTTTAACTTTTTTTAAATTTTCTACTTTTATGAAATGCTTGCTTGAAAGGCTTGGTTTTTTATTTTTAATCTAATTAATATAAAATATAGCTTATATATAGAACTAATTAACATCCCCGCTATGAAATCTGTCAAATATTATATCGCACTTTTAAGTGGCGCCGCCCTGTTGGCAAAAATGTCGTTTCATTCAGAAAGTTTCCAGTAGAGAGCGCGTACATAAGTGATGTTTGAGACTTCTATTTTTGATATTTTGATATTTCGGTAACAGATGGCAGAAGTAGTTTAAGGTTATGTAGATACTATAAACACAGTTTAAAGAGCTAAATATAACGTCTGTTTTTGTTTTTTAATAATTCGACTTTTATTACAATTATTTTATAAGTATAAATTTTTTATCAGATCAGAATACTTTTAGACAAGACGGTGATGAGGGCATCCATGACTTTTACTGCCACCAGGGCGGCGCCACTTAAAATGAGGTTTAATATTTTGATAGATATCATAGCGGGGACGTTAATTTGTTGGAAAAATGTGAAGGTTAAATAATATTTCTTTCTGTACATACTATTAGTTATATTTTATATTAATTATATTAAAATTAAATAAACCAAACCACAAATATTCATAAAAGTAGAAAAATTAAAAAATGGAGTTAAAATGTGCAAAAAAATTGAAAGCAAACCACTGATTATTTTGTAAAGAAACTGATAAACGCCTTATATATAACGTACTCTGTGCTGATAAACTTTTATTTAAAACCGTTTAAAACTAACTTCTCAGTTGAATGAAATTGTGTAAACAAAAACTTCAGTGTCAACTAGCGACATCTGGTGAATTGAAGACTATTAGCCCTCAATAGTTAGAAGTGAGTGGTGAAAACGTAAATTTTAAATCATATTGCATAAAAATAATTTAATTAAGTAACTTTATATAAATAGTGTTTTCATAAAATACGTACTAACAGTAATAGAAAAACTAAGATAAAGAACATATTAGACTAAAATTATCGTAAAACCTTAGCCTTCTCCATCTCAGATTAATTTTTATAGTAGGCTAGCTATCCACGAGCTTAAGAGTTTGATGCTAGATGGCGCTATAATATTTAATTTCCATAAAGGAAAAACAAGTCATCTACTTTTGAGAGAAAATATTTTTTTTATTTTTTTTTAAATCTATTGCGTCCCTTAGAAAAAAAGGATACAAAAGGGCGGACTTAATGTCTAAAGGTATTCTCTATTATTACTACTATTAAAAGAAAAGAAAAAAAAGAGTAACTAAAATTAATACACATTACATGTAACAAAGCAGATTATGATATAATATTGTAAGTAAATGAATAAGTATATATATATATATATATATATATATATATATATATATATATATATATATACTAGCTGACCAGGCAGACGTTGTTCTGCTCTTTTCGACGACCATTTGCTTTCCAAAAAAAAAAACTCCTGAGATTAGCAATAAAAAAATTGAGGGTCAATAATCGGGATAAAAACTATCCTATCTCTCAAGTTGGACTAAACTGCACAGTGTGCAAATTTCATTGAAATCAGTTCAGTAGTTAAAGAGTTCATCGCGGACAAACAATGTGACACGTATTTTTATATATAAAGATATATATTCGTACATTTACATATATTTACACATATTTGGATATTAATATACATAAATACAAAATTAATACATACGTATAAATACGACTATTTAACAATATTGTAATTATAATGATTCTACTCCCTCAAAAAGATCTTTTTAAGGGAGTAGATCTGCATAATCAAAGATAGGTAAAATAAGAGTTTGGACAAGCATGAGCTTAGACTTAATAGGAAGGAAGTGTTTGAGACGATAAAGGGAACGTAAGGTGGCGATGACTTACCGACTTAAATCGATAACCTGCACTTTCCAGTTCAGAGAGCTAACAATATACAGGATAAGGTTTTTAACAGATTCACTAAATGGAATAATAATATTATAATAGCAAACAGGAGGTAAGTCTCCTTGATTAACCCTAGCCAGCAACCTTTTACTTCCCACTAAAATCGCTTGGCATTTTACTGGATTCACACAGACTCCATATCGCGAGGACCAATCTTTAATTGTATTTAAATTCTGGTTTAATTTGTGAATTCCATTATGTAGATCTTCAACGCCACAATGCACATATAGCTGAGGATCATCGGCGTACAGATGGTACGAGCAATCAAGATTATGAGTGATCAAGTTTATAAAAACTTAGAAGATGATAGGAGAGAGTATATCGCCTTGCGGTACGCCACATTAAACTTCAGCCCAAGCTGAGGTCATATGATCTACGTGAAGTGACTGCTGACGCTCGCGAAGATAGGATGCAAACCAATCTAAGACAGTGGGCTTAAAATTAA